GGGGGGGGTAGTGTTTAGCATTTGTAAGGCGTGCTGACAAAATGAGTTACTCCTCACAACCCATGAGTGGAGACGTCAGCCGAAAATAGACACATCAAGTTTGTACATTTTTAAGGGACGCCATTTTTTTCTTCGAGTTAAACATGTCTTTTATCATTTCATTAATAAATTGTAGAAACCCAACCTATACATTTCCTGTATCTATCTGTGTCCTTATGGGTAAAATCCGAGACTTCACTCATTTTGTCAGTACACCTCACATTTACTATAATATTACAGACATTACACTAACATTGCGTTCAATGACAAGCCAGAGTGTGGTGACGAGAGAAATACGAGTCAGGGAGTTGAGGCCTATCTTCAAACTCTTCTGTAGGCAGTGCCCCTGACTGAAGTGTCTTTAGGCCATTCCCAAAGGGGGGATATTAACATGTTCTTATGCACAGAAAATTTGTAAATGGGCTGATTCATCAATGTCATGCTCATACTGTGCCGAAGAACATAGGGGGAACTGCTGCCTTTTCTTTCCTCCACCTTACTATTGTCATTTCCCACCTAGTTCTTTTGCATGTTTGTCACTGTTTTATGAACTGCTATTTCCGGGGTGCCTTGATAGTCGAAGCAGACTTTGTGCTGTTGAGGCTAGAGGGTTGAGTAGAGTAAGCCTGATTCCCTGTATGGACTTTTCTGTTGACATCCACCCCTTGGCTTGGCGCTCATATGACCTTATGCGGTTGCGAGCGCCGTAAAACCTTACTAATACTTTTAAAAAGACTGAATCAAAGCGCAGATAACAAGCCAGTGTCAGATGACGAAAGATTCGAGGCAGTCACATCGGAGGTCTGCTGTCTTCAATAAATGGGTGGCTTCCTTTCCGCTTTCACCACCCTGCGTCATTCTTCACTCCATTTTCTCTCCTCTCCTCGGGGATGAAGGTCCCCCATCTTCCAGAACTGGCGGTCGTGTTGTTTTTGCTGCTGATGTTTTTGTAGCTGGTTTTTTTTTGTTTTTGTTTTTTACGGGAAAGGACTGCTAACCCTTTGCCCAACCGACCTTAGTCGCCTTCTACAACATGCGCGGTACGGATACAGTGGTCCTATTCTTTACTCCCCTGTCTTGTACACGGATACAGTGGTCCTATTGCTCCCCGTCTCTTGTACAGGGATACAGTGGTCCTATTCTTTGCTCCCCGTCTCTTGGACAGGGCCCCGGGAACCACACTTCAATAAAATAATAGTCACCGAATAATAATATTGTTCGAAGGACAAAGACACTCGTCGACTCGCAGTGCCTTGTGTATTAGTCACGATATTCGAACAACAGCTATTGTCGTCAATGTACACAACAGTGAGTGAATGGCGTTTGGGCAAACAGCCTACGTCGTACAGGTGTTACATTTAGGCGCGATCGATCTGTTACAGAATCTGTCTGCCCGTCGGGTGACACATGCTCCATGTTTTAAAGTCTTCCCAAACACTGTATTATTTTTACCATTATATGATTGTATCATACATATATGAGGCAGCGTGGTGAAATAAGGCGCTCGTCAAAATAATGCAAGTGAAGAAACTGGCATTTTTCCGCTGGTTTGGGAATTTTATCAAAATTTATTTTTATTAGATCAACAACTTTCATGCCCAATAAAGAACACACGTCTGTGTGGATTTTACTGAAAAACATTGATTAAAGGCATAAAAGATGTAAGTTTTCAGTTTCCACGTACGGACTCTCATGCTAAGAAATCACACACAAAAAAAATTGTGGCTGTCATTTTCTCGCTAATTTACCTCAGAAACTAGGCGACCCCCACCTCCTTCAATCGCCAATATCTTGACTTGTGTTAAAGATAAATTGATATTTTTTATTTATCAAAAGCAAGGCAAATGAATAGGCTTTAAGATGATTCCAATAACCTCTTATGCCCAAAAATAGACGAGCGCCTGATTCCACCGCAATATATA